TAGTCAGCACACCCCCAGTGCAGCCCTTCAGATCACCCTTGCAACCCTACTCTACACCCCTAACGCACAGTCTTTCAGGCCGCAACAGCTCACTCTACTATGTGCGGGCCACCATACTGACTTCTGCTCCTTCATCAGGGCCACTCTATCTCTCTGCCCCCCTCAATGGGGCCTCCAGGATCTTATACTGCATGGGGCGCAGATGTCTGGAGACATGCCTAGCCCCTTTGCTTGTCCCTACATTAGGGTATCCCACCTGGATGTGGGGGCTGGGGTTATAAGGCACCCCTACCCGCCTTTCACTATGGAGGCAACTGGCCTGGCATTTCTGGGGAACTACCCCACCATGGGTAATCTCACCAAGCCATCCTTCCCCAGCAGGGTGTAGTTTTTGGTTATACCCAGGACCAGGAGCCTTCTGTCATCCCCGTAGCTCCTGCACTTACCTCCTTAAAGTGGCAGACACCAAAGGTGCTCTGCCATAGTCTGTTCACTTGCTTATCAGTTCAGTCTACACAGCTTAGACTAACCTGCAAAGACTGAATCGATTCATCCTCAGACTTTTTGACTGTCTGTACTTAGCCTAGAGGGCTGGTGAGCAGTACCATAGCTAGGAGCTGCCAAGTCTGTCCCTTGACTGCCTGACTTTCCAGCAGTTCCTTGCTTGACCCCTCTGCCCCACCTTCCAGCAGCTCCCCACTTATGTGCCATCCAGCACCCCCACCATGGCTCCCCATTCACACACAGATACACAGCTCTTTCTGGTTCTTTCTAAGTCCAGGGCTGTAGAGTTCTGGGTGATAGATTGTCTGGAGGGCTGGGGGTTAGGGCACTGTGAGCAGGGCATCCTGGGACCAACCATTTGCTGCTATTGACCCTGTGGAGCAGATTGATGTTATTGTAATGTGAGTTGCCCAACACCACCTGGAGAAAATCCTCTCCTGAAGAGGCATAATTTTGAGGTACTCAGAAAGCCCCTGAACTCATCTTTTCCTGCCTTAATGCTCAGACACTCCAGTCCTAATATCATTTAACCCATGGGAAAGGTAATGCCTAACAACACCCTCACTTTGGCCAGAATGATAGCGATTTCAAGAGAAATTGTCTGATGAAATCAATTTTCAAATACAAGGACAACTCAGAGAAGGATAATTCTTTATGGCTGCATGCAATAATATTACTAAAACATTTTGCTTTATTTCAGTACTACCTTTTGGTGCAACCTACTGTTGTGGCTCAGTAGTAGAGTCCTTGTGTGCAATGTGAGACAGCTGCATTAAATTCCTGGATGCAGATGCACATATAAGTATTGCCATCGAGGCACCAAATGTCTGGACTTGGTCTGGCCTTTGGATTCTGTCTCAATGCTCTAAGGAGGGGACGGAAGGTCTGGGCACCCTCCACTGTTCCATACGTCTGCCTAGTCATGTGTTAAAGGTTCTGGTGACCTCTCACGCATACACCACGATCCAGAAGGATTGTCAGTTGCCTTCTACTACCTTTCCATGCAAGGATTTCAACACACCTTACAGAGATACACAATTCCACTTCTGTGAAGAAAGGAACTATTATCCCTGTTACAGAAGGGGGAACTGAGCATTAAGATCCCAGAAGATGAGGCTAGAACTCAAGACTTCTGCACTCCTGACCCTATCCTTTGACAACATTTATTTCACTTTAAAAAGCCTAGTTCTTTGCCCACTGATGGAAACATTGTTATAAAGAAACCAGATGAAAAATATAGGATGGCATATTGTGCCTGTTTGGATGTCTGTCTGCTTCCCAGTGTTACTGTTTATAAGCAAACTGCTATGAGTTTCCTAAAGCCAGTGCACCTGTCCTGGGGCTCTGTGCTCTTTTTTCCACACTGAACACCTGTCGTATTTACTGCAGTGAGAGAGAACATGTATAATGCACATCCTGGATTCATTCTCCTTGCTTTATCCTAGCAAGAGGAGACTTTTAGGAAAAACGAACTGTACATTTTATACAATATTTTTATTATGTACATTGGGAGAGGGATTAAAGAAAAATGAATGCAATGGCTGATACATGATCCATTGATTGTCAACCAGTATTGTCACAGTCACACCCTCTCAGCAGGTCTCGCAGCTGGTTTAGTCGTAGTGTCCTTCATTGATAGAGAGCCAAGCCTTGATGTTTACTTTAGAGTGGTACTAGCCAGGAAAGGTTGGCAGTGGTTGTCCCATAAACTACAATAGCTGAGGCTGATAGTTAATATTATATAAAGTACATTGCATCCTGCTGTAAAGCCTGTTGTAATATTTAGATGTAACTGTGTACTATGGTATGGATAACTTCTCTTTTGGTTGGCAAATCTGAAAAAGCAAATAGCTCTGCTTCATTTTAACAGCATAACAGCATTGCCACGAAGGCATTTCATCTCAAGTCAATAGCCCACTTGAGTATTGGGATGGGACAGGATGGGATGGGACTTGTATATAACTTGAGCTAGGTGGCCCTTGGTGTCCCATCCAACCTTGTGGATCTGTCTATGATTATTATTTTGTCTGGAAAATAAAAGCTGTTTAATTGTATGGCTTCTTCAGGCATTGAGCCCCATTTTCAAAAATTGGCAATAATTTCCCCATCAGCCAAGAGCATCTGTATTTAAACAAGGTCATTTCTGATTTGTCAATAGCATTGTTTGCTTGTGAAAAAAAAATATCTGGCACTTTATCAGGAATACTCATGTTGATTTGCAACAGAAAAGAGTGGCTACTATTGCTAAAAACTGCTTTTATTGACTGAAATTCACCCTTTCCACTTGTCAGTTAAACCACAGGGACCCTAGTTCTGTAGAAAAAGATAATTGTGGACAAAACCTTTCTAGGGAACCAAACATCTGCCTTTACCCTCCTTTCAGGTCATCTTTTTCTTCTTAAGCAGAAAGTTTGACCTCTTGCTGGTGGGCTGTCCGGTGGCAATCTGCTGGCAGGAGTCCTCTTTGGCACTGTCTTAAGTATGTGTTGTCTGCAGTTCTACATGGCTACTCTTGGGGGGGGGGGGAATGCCTGCTAAAAGGTGGATGTGAGACTATTCCCTAGACTAACAGGAATCTCAACCTACATACTAAACAAAAGGTCCCAATGGCTAGTGAATTCTCAAACCCTAGATATGATTCCTTGCAGATTTTTTTTTTAAAGTCTGAGTCTCATCTTGTTTCTCTTACAAGTTTGATGGGTAAGGAGCTATTGGAATGCCTAGAATTTTTGCTAACCATGTTCATGTAGCCCTACAGCCATCTGCTCCATGCCTCTTCTAGATTCTTTTTATGTTCCAATCTAATAGCTGCCTAAGCCACTAGGACAATATTACATTGAGTAGAAGGAGAGACAGTTTTTGAAAGGAGGGAGGCTATGAGTCTGTCTGCATATAGGGCCTTCATTTCACAGCATTTGAATACCTCACAGATAGTACTAAATATTACTACACAACACTCCTGCAAGTGGAAAAGTATCTGCATTTCACAGATGATGCACTGAGGTGTCCAGTGCTATGACTGACTTATCCAATCCATGTCCATACTGTAGCAAGGCTAGAGAGAGACCCCTGATCTCCTGAGTGCCAGCCCACTGCGTTCATCACTAGACATCTTCCCACTCATAATGTAAGAGATGGGTGTTGTGGAGATTTGGTTTTTGTATGCAAACTGTGTGGTGTGCCCATGAAACTGCCATAACATTGTCACATGTAAAGAAATGTTTAGTGCCGTGTATTGTGAAAATGCCTAATGGAACATGGTGAATATTATTTTGCCTAATACCAGATAATACTAACGGCTTACCTACTCTTCGAATTGATTCAGTTTAAGCAACTTATAAGTGTGTTATTATATTGGATTTCTTGGACAAACGTGTTTCCTGTAAAATGAGTTGTTCTAGTGGGCTTGAAAACCCACTTGAAAACATGAGAAGAGGCTAGGGGCTGATTGTAGCACAGAGGGTGGTATTGAGCATAACAAATTTTACTGATTTTAGAAGGCCTGTCACAAAATTGGTATGTGTTGGCAGGAGGTCTGACAGTTATTGGGAGATAGAGAAGTGTCTTGTAGCAGGAGAGATTTAAGAATTGTGCTTCCAAAGATTTCCTTATTATTAAGTCTAATTGTATTTTCCCTATTTAATTCTCAAATTTAATTAAGTTAGCTGTTTGGGATTATTAGAAGGCCTAGTGAGGCCTGTCTGTTTTATGGTTATATGTACATAAACACATGTATATTTTTATTTTCCCTTTGTAAATGATGTCAGAACCAATGTGAAATGACCATAATTTATGGATAAGGGAACATATATTTATCATTATTATTAGACTTTGCTAGTTTTGTGTTCTGTATTTATGGTATAGATATATGAGACTTTACAGGAAAATAAGGACCACGGATCTGATGGTGTTGATCAGCTTGACTTCAGTGGAAGTGTGCTGATTTAAACCAGCTGATAATCTGTCGGTCTATGCTCCTAGGAGTTGATAATATATTTTATTTAGATTTAAACCATTTAAAGTCTACAACAGAAAAAAAACCCAGATACAGGAAACAAAATAACTCAGCCTGACAATTTAATCAAAACCAAAGTGTCCATTTTACCCATGCTGTCTGAAGCTTCAAACTAGATGCAGTAAGCCATGCTAGTGTGATCTTACCCAAATTTTGCACTTTTGGATGTTGAAAGTAAATTTCCCTTAGAATGATCAGTCCTTTTTGGTGTTATAAGCAGATGTATGTGTATTCCATAAGTGTCTGTGCATGTCTGTAATGTCTGTGTGCCTCCTGTAAAGCTACTCAAATTTAGGGTCTGCCTGGTGGTGGAAATGGCATTCCAGTCACGAAGCAAATAGATCTATAAATGATTAACCAGAGCATTAAATTGTTACTTGTTAACTTGTACTTGGAAGGGGGTGGGGAGGGGAAGGGAATCAGTGGAGGTGTTCAGTACAAGATTGTTTTTGAACCCAAAGAAGAGGAAGGGTACTAAGAACATTCTTTAAAAAAAAAGAAAGAAAGAAAATACCAGGGCATTTAATGCTTGTTTGCACATGAAATTCCTTTCCCAATTAAATTAAAAAGTGTTTTTTAAAGAAAGTAAAGACTTGAGCTTTGATTGCAGAGCTTGAAAACAGGAATAAAGTGAAGGAAGGGAATAGTAGCAGGGGAGGAGGGGGAAGTCACAGCAGCATTTTAACCGGGGATAGGAGGAAAGTTGGAGCCTCCTATGAGAGTGAGAGCACCGAGACCTGCTGCTTAAGTTGCCACACGTGACAGCAGCTTGAAGTCAACTCAAAGTCAACAACCAAAAAAAAAAGAAAGAAATCAACGTTGCAGCAGCTCCCTCCTTTAGATTGTTTTGCCTGCACCTTTTGCATACAGCTGGCTGAGCAGAAGGCAGCAGCAGCAGCAGCTCTGAAACACTCTGATGAGAACTGTGGGAAAGGGAAGAGACGACCACAATATCCCCTTCGCGGAAGCATGCATTCTGCAGTCCATCCCAAGAATCTTTCCGGCAAGGAAGCAAGCACTGCTGTATCTGACATGCCTCTAACACAGGAGCCTCTGATAGTTTGAAGGCAAAAAACAAAAACAAAACCCAAGCAAGAAACCTACAAGGACATCAGGAAAGGGAGGCGGCTACATAAAAGGCTCTTTGAAAAGAATCCATTCTGGACAGAGCCATTTGGGTGAAGGTGCCTTTATAAAGATTCCCTGTTTGCACAGATAAAAGGAGTCAGCAAGAAGTATCCTGGATAATTCTTCAGGGGTCTTTTTGTCATTGTTTGCATTTTTTTTCCCTCATACATCGCTATGTGCTGACCTTTTCCAATGGAATTTGAGTCCCCTGCTACTCTACCCACAGTTCCAGCTGAGAGGAAGAGCTCTTTTCTCCCACCCCCCCATCACCACTCCCTCCTTCCTCCTGCAGACACTTCCATTTGAATAGAAGATATATCTTTTCGCTGACATTCTTTTGTTGTGACATGGCATAACAGACAGTTGTCTCACAGCAGGAAATTAAGGAAAAAGAGCAAAGGAATTAGAAAGACAGAAAGAAATTGTCCCCAGAGGAGAACTGAAGCAGGAAAGATAACATTAAAAAAATTAAAACTCTATGAAGATCTAGAAGATCCGAAATCTTCAAGCTCTAGAATAAAAATGTACTATAAAAAGCTCCCAAGCAGCCCATAACAATGAACAGTCATGGTGTTTCGTCTGGCTGCAGCTTTTAAAAGAAAGCTTTGAGGGTGAAAGTGGGGCCCTGGCCTATATGATGCCTGAAGATAAAAATGCTGGGGTCCGCACATCAGGTGCCTTAGCATCAGCTCCTTTCATTCCTAAAACTACCTATAGGAGAATTAAACGGTGTTTTAGTTTTCGCAAAGGTAGGTACAATCTGTCACTGTGTTCTGCTTTGCTTTTAAAGCCTGTTATTCTATGTTGTGGAGGAGGCTGTGTATTGGGTGCAAATGAGACTTCCAAAATAAAGGGCATGAAACAATGAAGACACCAACATTCCATGAATGATTTACTCATTTTTTGTTCACTTATTTGTGGTTGGAAAGCTTAACATTTTATCCTCTGTCTGATCACCCATGAATGGGCTGTGTGAGGTGGTATGAGACAATTATTTTGTGGTTCCTCAGAACAATCCCAAACTGAAAATCAGTGAAAGGAGAGAGACAGTTTAGCTTGTGATGACCTGATTTAGCTGCCAGATTGGTAAAATAAAGCAAAAGAGTCTGATTTATACTTTTGGTTGCATGGGAGCTGGGTGGGGGGGGAGAGGGGAGAGGAAACAAGACAATTGCGTCTGTCCAGAGGATCAAATCCTTACACCCAAAGACATCTGATAGACTGAAGTGGATTCCCTCATCATAAATTGTGTTGTTGCATATGATTGCCTTGCTTTGTATCATCCTGTTCTTCTGCAGCTTGCAGTCACAGTTCCACCCCACTGCAGTGACATTGTTAGTCAGTTCTCATCTGCATTGCACACAATGCTACTGAAATAAAGTATGGCAGTTATGGGATTAAGGCGGGCTTTTGAATATATCAGCAGGTAGTGCTGGAAGAGGAAACTGTCAGCTCATCTAAAAGAAATAATAAGGGAGATGGAGGTGAGTAAACAAATTTGTTTACTCCATTTTCTGATGGGAGTAAACAAACTTTGTCTTTCAGGACTCTGAGAAGAAGCCTATAACAGTCACGTGCTTGTTCTAAGAAGCATATCTGAAAGGGGGAATGAAAATAAAGGGCCACATTTTCATCTTCATTCAGAATGGGAATAAATGACCTTGCACAAGGGCTGATCTCTACTTTGCTCCTCCACTAGGATGAAGTTGAAGCTGCAAGGTGGCAGGATACTGGGTCTAGCCCTTGTTTCCCCATACTCTGCAGAGCCTCTGTCTGTGTTCTTACCTTTTATTTTGCTATCCTTTCTTAGACTACCCCTTGGTGGCCCCACATGGAAATGACCTGCAATGTTTCAATTACCCTCCAGCATATGCAGGTTGCAAGGTATTCTGTCTTATCAACCCAGCAGATCCAGTGTTAATATGGCATCTCTGTTGCCTTTTAGGGTTATCTACACTGGCAAATGTTAACAGAATGTAACCTTACAGGAGGAAGCAGTGTTAGTTAGCTAAAGTATATTTAAAACCATACAGACACTTGGTTAATGCCCTAGCAACTCCCATTGACCTTGGTTGGAATGGCTGGTGTTCAGTGCCTCTGGGAATCAGGTCAAGAGAGGACATATATGGTTATGTGCCAAATGTATGTGCTAATGTATCTGTTGGTGCAAACTACTCTGTAGCTCTCCATTCCCTCCATAGGCACTTAACTATTTCAGGAATGTTTAGAATTTGAGAAAAAGATTAAGAGATTAATTTCTAGACGGTTGACTATTTTTGACTGTGTGCTGCCACAGGCTTCTCACAGAGAAACAGGATTTCCAGCTGTTTGGTTTGGGGCTTGTTTGTTTTTTTCCTTGTTTTTTTTTTCACCTACATGTTTCAACACACGAACTGTTCTGAAAGCTTGAGAGAAATCAGTGTGCTCAGGAGCATAAGACAGATGCAGCTGGAGAACTTGCCGTTATTCTGCTGTTTTCAGTGTCACACTTATTTTAGTTGCACTATGTTACAAAGTCTCTCTCAAAAGAAATATCATGGAACAGTATGGGCCAGATTTTCAGAATTTTGTGAACATGTTTAAGTTACCCCCGTATAGCACTTACAAGCACTCCCCCTAGGCAAAACTTACTGAATTTAGTATCCAATGTTAGAGCTTTATTACACATTGCACTGTGAGCTACACAGGTGTTGATCAGTGTTATTGCTAGCTTAAATATGGAGCAGTCATGTTCAGGCCAGCAGGGTCCTGGAGAACTTAAAAGTAAGAATTTCTTCACTCCCTCCCCCCCCCCCC